CAGATGGTCTGAACATGTCAGTCCTTTGGAGAGCAGCACGTTCCTTCCAGAAGTCTAACGCAGCCACAGCCTTCGACAGAAAGTACTCCTCAAGGATGGGGCACAGGGCAGGTTACATAAGGTCACTTAAATCTTCATCTTACAGCAGATCAGAACCCACATGGCTGACTTTCTGTCGGATTTGCTAGGAATCCAGTAGAGCTGGTTTCAAGTTCCGCATTGACAATTACTTACTGGACATCATCACCTTCTTGTCTGGAAGTTGTAATCCACGTGGAGTCCACAGTGAGTGCAGCAAATCTGAGGTAGTCAACCCTTACCAAGGCTCAGTGTCCGAACAGAGAGAGATCCTCAAATGACCACGGGCTGCAGATTTTGGTTTGGTCGGGTGTTGTAAAGAACACTGCTCGATAGAGTATCACAATGAGAATTTCCAACCTAGATCCAATACACAGAGAGAGCAGTAGTGACACTGGAAACTTCCAAAGTGCAATAGGGCCAATTACTTAGAGAGTGGTCTGCATCGCTGCTATGGGTCCAGCTGAGATGAGACGATGACTGGCTGCTCATTCGTTGGAGTCTAATTACCTTAGGAGGGTTGTGAGCAAAGACCATCCTTAATTGTACTATTTGGAGTTCCTTTTCTGATTTTCAAGCACAGCGTACTGGTTGTCTAGCTCAAGTTTAAGGGCCTGGTTTTTGGAAACCTCATCCCTACCTCTATTTTTGTGTCTTACTACTTCAAAGTGCTTCTCCATTTTTTTAACCCTAAGGGAAAAGAAATGTAATCAGTAAATATTACTTCTTCACTCGGTTGTTTTGAAAATATTCTTCTTTAAAAGGAAAGAAAAAAGAAACCCCAAAAGCGCCACCCTTTAAAGGAAGAATTTTGGAGGAGGGAAAAAACGGGGGAGAATTAGTATATAAAATCCTTATAAAATAATTTTTTTAAGGCTTCAATAGAACAAAAACCCAGAATACTGTGTGAAGCTTTAAAGTCTTATTTTCTATGACATCAAGTCTATGAAACCTTTCAAATGAGAACTTATTTCACTAAGCAATGGGATGAAAAGTTGTCTCATAACATGATTCCTTCTAAGACTGACTTTCACCTTCAGTAAACAACAGACAATTGGTAACAGTTTTCTCGTTCAAGTCAAGTCCTACTCATTATCCAATGATTTCTCCTCACTTCTATTTGGTGGGAGCCAATCAGGTCAGGTCAGGTCAGGATGAGTGTGGTGAGTTACTGTCCTGACAGATCTGGAGGGTGAACGAGGGGCAAGTCCAAGCGGAGGTTTAAATTCAAGCCAGCTGTGCTCTCAGAGAGGAGAAAAGACTGGGATTCACTTTTAAAGTCACCCAAACACACAGTATTTCCATCTGGTGTCATTTACAGGTCTTCCCATTTTATTTTTAAAAATTCATGTCCCTAAATGACATGTGGATGTGCCATATGTGGTCATTTAACTCCAGGTAGCATTCATTTTAAGTACCTGTTCCGGCTTTCTACGTGCTTGGCAGTGGACTGCAGGGAAGGGAACTGTGTGTCGCTGTAAATCTCTGGTGGCCCTTGTGGTGTCTTCCTCGTTGTGGTTAACCTGGCTCCAGGAGGTCGGTACACGCCACTAGTCATCGCTGGTTCTGGGGTTTCTGGAACGATGGCTGGGGCCGGTGTCGCTTGCACTGGAGCCGTCTTGTTCCAGGGACCCGAAGACTTTTCTACGCCTCCGCCGCCTCCTCCACCTTCTTCCCAATTATCCCCTGGATCTTCCCTTTT